TAAAATAGCAGATAGTTCACAGTCATAGCCTGCAGATTGTGATGATGGTGCTGATAAACCCACAGACATTGGGAAAGACCCCTGGATGGGACTTTGTCAGAACATCCCTTGAATCTGGAAAGGGCTGTAGCCAGGATTTTTGTTGGGAGGGCAGGACTAAGTTGGGGGGCAGAACTTTTGTTGGTGGGGCAGAACCGATGTGATTGGTCAGTTAAGTATTTATTATTTTACTTTATCAAACACAATCAAGCAGGATTCTGGCTATCATTTTTCTGCTGCATATTCTGTTGTAGGTTACAGAACCTTGTGTTTCTTAACTAAGTTAACAATACTGAACCATATTGTTGGGCAGGGGCCAAGTAGGATAGTTAAAGGCACAATATTCACTTTTGTAATAGATAACACTGTAAATATGTTGCCTCAAACAAAAAAGGGCGGTGAACTATTATTATTATTGATTAGAATAAGATGCACAAAATAAAATAACAAGCTTAGATTTTAACTTAACACACACTTCTTCAGCACTTAGTGATTGCATCACCAAGCAATCATCTGCATTTATGTGATTTTAATTGCCATTGCAATTTAAACTGTACATAGTTTTCCTATCATATGGACTTCACCTGCAATACAAACAGATGTGAGGGCCATTTCACACATTTCAGATGGTGAAGGTATGATCAGTTGGGAGGTACTGCCTCTATTTGCTCCCTGGTAGTGTAATTCTTTTGGCAAACATGCATTTGTAGCATTCATGCTCTACATTTTTAAGTATATGCTTAAAATGTCTTATCGGCATGCAGTGCAATCCTATGTATGGAATTAATCACAGAGTGTTCAGTGGAACTTACTTTTTTGCAAATGTGTCTTTAGGATTTCAGCCTGGGAGATATACATGTGTGAATCACCTACATCCAAATATAATACTCTATGTGAAAGAGATCTGTTTGAACCTAATCTCTGTTTCAACAACATAATCGAATACATCCCCAAGGTATGCTAAGTACTTCCTTCCCTGCCATAGGATGCAGAAAGAGAGCAAAACAATAGGTTGTAGCCAACATTAGTTCTAAGTAACTTAGCCTTAATTTCAATGGGTCTGTTCTGAGCAGAACTTAAGATACTTCCCAATATTTTGTAAAGTGATGCTTGAACCCAGATCTACCGCTGATTCCCCTAAGGCCACATCTCTGTCCTCAGAAGGCCGGGGGAGGGGGAGGCAACACCCCCAGAGTCCCCCAAAATAATAGTTTAAAACCACCTCTATATATGTACTCTTCAGTTCAATTTGTTTTTAAATTGAATTAACTGCATTAAAAATAAATAAACAATTATAAGGACTGAAAATATAACATTTTGTTGTTTCTTATTTTGCTGTACGGTATTCAATAGTGTAGCTTTTTTTTTTTTTTGTCTGAATGTTAATAACTGTCTTGGATTGTGGTAATAAGGACAGGTGGGAGGAGGATGCTTCTCCCTACTCCCAACAGTTGTTTTGGAAATGGAAGGGCGGATGTTTGAAATACCAGCACAATTCCTGCCGTTTGGTTTTGTACTTTTGCAAGGCATGTATACACAACAATAATTTGTGCACATTAATACTTACAGCCAAGGGCCAAAAAAAAAATTCAGCTTTTTTTGCAGATTCAGCAGATATAGTAAAAAGAATAATAAAGTAATGACAAATTCAATGATCACGAGTGCTAAAAATGCTTCATGAGATCTGTTAACTGCAAAACAGATGGTTGCCATAAAAGCTACAAGCTGCAAGAAAGAAAGACAGAATATTGACTTAGGATCATGCATACATACATAGTCATACTACAAATATTCCAATGTTGCAAAACTATTTATGTTGCAAAACTATATGATGCTGTCATATAGTCAGACCACTGGTTCATCTTGTTCAGTATTGTTTGCCACAATGGCTGGCAGTGACTTTCCAGGGTTTTAGGCAGTTGTTCTATCCTTGAGCTATTACCTTCAAGTTACTAAAATAATCACACCCAAACTTTAAAATCCTACCGTAATTTATAAATTTAAAATTTGGTATTTGTTCAATCAATGTTTTATTTGGAAACACTGGATCTATAGTGTGTCTTTAAAATGGGCCTGAATACAACTTGCCTTCCCTATGATTCAAAGATCTGGAGGTGTACTGTTTTCTTCCCCTCCTCAAAACAAGAGACTAAGGAGGTGCCTTCTATACATGGGTCCCCAAAGAAGTGTGCATGTGTGTGCACTGAAGAACACAAACAGCTGCCATATGGTTTTGAACGCTACTTTTGTCATGTGGCAAAAACCTCAGACTAGATGCAGCTATTTAGAAAACAAAAACGCCAAACATATTCAGTGAATTCACTTATCATCTAGTTTGCTCCAAAGAATTAAATAATCATAATAAGGCAGTGGGATTTAACAGTGCACGCACAAACACATATATTCTAATAGTCAGATAAGAGAGAACGTATGTGTTATTCCAGTTTACAGTATATCTGTATTGGATTTGATACTGTGTTTACATACAAAAGCATTTTCAAACATCTTTTAATTTTCATATAAGCAATAATTGGTGCTGGTCTTCTTGTTCTGAAACCGCTCTGAGATATTTTATGAGAAGCGATTCATACATGGAAATAAATAAATATCTGGCAACACTTGTATTGTAACACCAGAACACCAGAAAGCTACTCCAAAGCAGGTCCTATTTGAGTTTAACAGGGTGACATCCAGAGAAGTGGAAATAGATGGCTGGCTACAAGAGGCAAAAATCAGCATTGCTGAAATTTTCCAGTTCCTTTAAAAATGACAAACGTGGAACACCCCTTGCTCCAGCTGTACGGCGAAAGAGAAGAGCTGGAAAGCAACACTAAAACAAAGTTAAACGTTTTGAAGGTTCACTTAAACTAAGGCACACAGACACAGGGCAGAGTGGCATCGCTTGACAGCAGTCACCTCATGAGTGTGAACCAACTTGTCAACATCCATATAAATATACAAGTAGCACACTCACCACCTCAGAGAACCGCCCTGAGACCCCAGGGTATAGGGCAGTATATAAATAATAAATAATAATAATAATAATAATAATAATAATAATAATAATAATAATAATAATAATATATGTGCTCTCACACAAAATACAGCAATTTGTTTACCGGGCACTTAATTTGTAAATAGAAGAGGCAAAGATGCCAGGGATCTGGAAACATTACCCTCCACGCCCCCCTCCCAAAACTTAGAATCCTGGGGTTTAAAGTGAATGCGCTCTGCACAAGCTCAGAGGCAGCCTCCCCCTCTGTTCTTGCTTCACTGTCGAGCCCCTGAGGTTACAAAGAGACTGCAGGGAGGCCCATATGAAGACCCACCACCACACGCCAAGGCTTTAAAAACTTTTTTTTTATCTTAAATCTAACCTCAGCTCCCCCCCCCCGCCCCCTCCCCTCAGCCTGGCTTCATACCATGCGGGCAATCTTGAGGCCTCCCCTCACGGAGTGCAGGAAAAGGTAGTTCACTTCCACCATGGTCACATCTGAGGAGAAGCAGAAGCGCCGGGCGGGCGGGCGGGCGGTGCCGGAAAGAGCGCCGGTTGGGCTGTGGCGCGCCCGCGAGCCCCAAGCTACGCTGCCGACGGAAGGCCCCACCTGCGGTTGCTGGGCTGAGCCGCTGGCTTAGTTCCTCTCGCTCCGCCTGACCCACCTCGCAGGGGTGTTGCGGCGAGGATCAAAAATGGAGGCAGGGGGACCAGGGAGAGAGGGGAGTAATGCTACGTCACAGGGCGTGTGGGCATTTACAAGCATGGTTAAAAAAAAAAGGGGGCGCAATGGTATCTTCTTATTTCAATGCCCTGTTGTTATCTTTTCATTCAGCAGCATAACAGCCCAATTTAAATTCAGTTTCAATTCTTATTTATTCCGTTTATGTACCGCCCTTCACCCGAAAATCACAGGGCGGTTGACAACATGAAATGTTTAATACGGCTAGGTTGACCGGCTAAAAACCACCACTGGGCATATATATATATTTCATCCTTTATATATATATAAAGGATGTTAATCTCCAAAACCAAATTGATTAGAGCGACTAACAAAACACACTAACCTTTCGAAAGCAAAATCGATCAGCTTCCGCTCTTTCCGTCTCTTCTGATGTCTGAATCAAATGATGGGGTTTTGGCGGAAGCCAAAAGGTTTGGCTTTAAAACTTGGACACACAAAACCATTCATGTTCAATACCTGGAGATATCTTAGAAGAGGAACATCAGGGTTTATTTTGCCACAAGACTGTTACAACAATGCTTTTTTGCTAGGTTAATAATCCCAAATAAAAAGCACACCTGACCAAAAGCATCTTCGAGTTTCTTTCCTGATATCTGCGTACACGTGTGTGGTTGCGTACATTTAAAGTACATGGTTTCCCCACCAAAGAATCCTGGAAACTTTAGTCCCCTCCCGAACTACAATTCTCAGCACCCTTCACAAACGACAGTTGCCACGATTCTTGGGGGGAAAGCCACGTCCTTTAAATGCACGAAGAAAAATTTTCACGCTCGGGGCTGGTAATGTTTGAAGTGGTGCTTGTATGCTCTGAGTATCCATTCAGTCAGTGTTATAGGTAAATGCATAGATTTACGTTGCATTCCACCGCGTTAAGTCCACAACATATGGGTACAAATTCCAGCGTGCAGAGGGGAACCTCTTGTTCACTCTGCGCCCGAAGTGACAGCAACAGTCTGCTCGATGGGGCGGCTTACTCGCAGGGAGGCGTACATAGGTTTGCAGCCCTAGTCAATGCAGACAGATGCATTCGGACGACAGAAGAAGGGAGACGCATCATCGTTTGAAAGGCCAGATGGTGTCAAATGGAACACCACCTCCCCGACGCGAACAGCTTAGATCGCGATGGTCAACAAGCCCTGCTGCGCCTTTAAAATTCCCGCTTTGCAAATGCTTCGCTTGCCTTCGGGAGCAGGCGGAGGCGTCACGATCTTGCACAGGAAGTAGACGGTCTGTAGCGGCAAGAGAGGCGGAAGGAAGCGGGCGCTGCATCGCTTGGCTTTGCACATCTAGCACCAAACTGCGAGAGCTGCCTCCGGACATGGGCGATGTGGTTGTTGCAATCGCTCTGCCGCCCGCCCCTTCTAGGTTCCCGGTACGCGCGAGGGATTCGGCTCGCCTGCGACTTCTGCACCTGGAAGGGCAGGCCCGCAAAGCCTGAGCCGCTTCTGCAAAGAGATCCGCGCTCCCGCTGCATGACTGGATCTTCTCAAGACGTTTCCTGTAGGTCTGCTCCTAGTTTAGTCCCCTGCATGTCTAATCAGTATGCTTTTTTAAAAACACCCAAAAACAAATAAAATCCGGAGACGCTGTTCTTTTTCCATCAGAAACCTTCCTTTGCTGGTTTGGAAGATGCAAAACCGTGTCTGTAGTTCTTGTGCGCTCAAGTAGCTACTGAGCACAGTGAGCCTTCCTGTTGAGTGGACACTTTTAGGGTCGTGCTGTTAATGTTGTTATAGCACGTGGATTTGAATTGATGCCTGGACTATTGTAGATACATGCCACTACCTGTATGTAAGTTTAGCCGGGAAGAAGCTCTGTTGAATTCAAATGTGTTTTATTTCTGATTCTGCAGTAATGTGTAATGGTTACCTTTGGTTTTGCTTCTTCGAATACTTGCAGTTTCTGCCTCCGCTCCAACAACTCCCCTTTAGCATGTGTTTTGTGTGAAGCATTATATCACATAGACTCAAAATGGGTCAAGGGACCTGAGTTGTGCATAAACACACTCCTTAGAGGGTTTATTTACAATTAAGCAGGATACAAATTAACAAATTCTGTTATATTGAGAGAGATCAAAGTTAGTGATATTTCTCAACTTCCCTTTGTACAGATAAAAAACATACAGTGGTTATACCATTTTACTTTCTATTCTGGCTGTGCACATAAATGATAGTGACTTGAACAAAATGAGGAAGCTTCTTTATAAACTTGGGTCATGAGAGCCAGTGTGGTGTAGTGGTTAAGAGTGGTAGATTCATAATCTGGTGAACTGGGTTCACGTCTCCGCTCCTCCACATGCAGCTGCTGGGTGACCTTGGGCTAGTCACACTTCTCTGAAGTCTCTCAGCCCCACTCACCTCACAGAGTGTTTGTTGTGGGGGAGGAAGGGAAAGGAGAATGTTAGCCGCTTTGAGACTCCTTCGGGTAGTGATAAAGCAGGATATCAAATCCAAACTCCTCCTCCTCCTCCTCCTCCTCCTCTTCTTCTTCTTCTTCTTCTTCTTCTTCTTCTTCTTCTTCTTCTTCTTCTTCATGTAATGTAATAACTAAAATCCTTCGGTCTAAAGAAAGAAAGAAAGAAAAGTAATATACACAGATATAGGTATCTGCTGAATGGATAATTATTCTTATTCACAAGTTGGATGTGCAACAAAATATAGCATCATGAGATGCTTCTGAAAAAGTATTTGAAGCACTCTATTTAATACTGCCCTGTAATAGATTTCTGCAGGAAAGTATTTACTACCCAATTCCCCCCATGGAAGATGTAGGGTGGAATGGGAAAAAAATGGGTAGACATCATTAGGAGATAGGCATACGTCTTTGGAAGCAGTTTTCAAAAATACCTGTCTTATCAGAAAACAGGCAGAGGGGAGATATATAGTTATGCTTGATTCCAATCTATCTGTTGGACTGTTTTTACACACACACACACACACACACACAGAGAGAGAGAGAGAGAGAGAGAGAGAGAGAGAGAGAGAGAGAGAATATCACAGTATTTTAAAGCACCTGTCAGTAATAGGGGATGGAGCCCACAAACTATTCATCAGCAGGTAAATTTATCTCTCACATCTAAGCCTGCTACTGTAGGGTTCTGGAGTGGAGTGCTGCTGGAGGCCTCCCTCATTCCTTGTCTGTAAACCTGCTCTGGAAGTTGTTCTTGTGAAGACTAGCTCTTCTTCACTGTCCTCTCTGGCATCTGCTCTTAAGCAGATTACTCAAGCTAATTTTGCCCCTTTAAGATTGACACAGGAGGATTGCACAGAACAGTACTGGCTTTTGTGAATATACTGGCTCTGACATGTATGAGAAGGTCCAAAAGTTGTTGCTATGCCAGCACTGGACTTTCCCCAGCGGGGAACTGCAGTGTTCTGACTGTGCTGAAACTTTTTTCTGGTGGAGTTTCAGAAATTTCAACCTATTTTCACACTTAGGAATGTGGGTTTAGCTACAGCTCCTGGGGATCATGGTTGAGCTCCATGACAAGTGGTGCTCGTTTATGTTTCTGCTGTATTTAGGTCTGCAGTACAGTCCTCTCATGGACCTCTCATCACCAGAGAATGCACATGGAAAATAACTAGGCCTGAATTATTGCCCCTGCCCCCTGCTATTTCCCTGTAAATGGAAAGTTAAACAGTGGAGATGCAACTGACAAAGGACTGTACTGTATGTGTTAGGAAGAGCTCTGCTAAATCACCCCAAAGACCTGTCTTCCTAGTCAAGAATTCTGTTCCTCAAAGTGGCCAACCAGATACCTCCTCGAAGCCCACAGACATGAGCAAATAACCCTCTCCCACTGCCATTCACCAGCAAGTAGTATTTGGAAGTATATACCTTCAGAACATAGAGGTTTTATTTAGCTATCAAGAGTGTTCACCTCTCTCTCTGTGTTTGAATAATCTGTTGTTTAGCAACTTGACTTTGCTTTAGTCTTTGACATTGATAATGCCTTGTGGTGGTGTTGTTCTTGTACGATGTGAGTCTTTTGTCTTGTTATTAGCAGTATACATAGTGTTGCCTCTACCACATCCTTCCTGTGCTGCAAGCTGTCTCTCTCAACATCTGATATGTGGAGGCCTTGCACTGTGCAGCTGAATGTGTTGCACCTGTGTGCCTTTCAAAAGTATGACTTGCAGCTTTGCATTGGCAAAAAGAGCTCTTGCAGCAGACCATACCTGCTTTTCTCCTTGCACAAAAGACCTAAGTTGAAAGACCTAAGTCCTTAAATGTGATGTTTTCTGACCAGTGAGACATAGTGGCTGCCCACTACTTATAACATGGCAATACATACCATAAGCTGAATGAACTGTTTCAAGTGGGACCTTCAGCAAAATGTTGCAGTGTGTAATGCTTCCATTGAAGATACTTCATTCCCACCTAGTTATTTGTTTCTACTCCCCAACAGTTAGCTTTCTGTGGCCGTTGAGCATACTTAGCCCTCACTTGATTGTTCTGGATGCCTTTAGGATGTCCTCCCATCATATTTTGCACACACTACTGCAAACCAAGGCTACTGATCTGCATTGGTTCCATGTGCAATGGCACTCATGGCTTGAACATCAGTAATAGAATGATTTAAATTGTCTTATTTATTACATTTTTTGTCCTGCCTCTTTCATCCAAGTAGCTCAAGGTGTACATGATTCTTTTTTGCATTTTATTCTTATAACCATGTGGGGTAGTTTAAGCTGAGAGAGCTGCACCTCATCTACACTAAACATTCAAAGCACTATGATGCTATTTTAAACAGTCATGGCTTCCCCCAAAGAATTCTGGGAACTGTAGTTTGTTAAGTGTGCTGAGATTTGTTGGGAGATCCCTATTTCGCCTCACAGAGCTACAATTCACAGAGAGGTGTATCATTCCCTCTTCCCAGGGAACTCAAGTAATTTTAGCTCTCTGACCAGAATAGGGGGTCTCATGGCAACTCCCAGCAACCTTAAGAAGCCACAGTTCCCATGATTCTTTGGGGGAAGCCATATGTTAAAAGTGGTATGATAGTGCTTTAAATGTATGGTGTGTATGTGGCCTTATTGTCAAGGTTAATTTTCTAACTAGTAGTTTGTTTATTTTTTAGATAAACACATGGAAAACGGAGGACGGAAGAAGACAGTTGTAAGTATAAGGCTTCCCACTCCCACCAATAAAGGCAATGTTATTGATATTTGAGATAGTTATAAAATGCATAGAAAGACACACTTGAATGCAGAAGTACTAGTTTAGCTTTTAATACCTTCAGTCTTAAGGGATGGAAATAATTGTACTTTGTTGTTGATTAATTCTTACTAAATATTTGGACTGGACAAATACTATGAAGGCATTTAGCCAAAAAGAACTTTTGAAATAGATGCTGGCAGCTGCCCGGATCTCTATAGCACAACAGTGGAAATCGTTTAAAAAGATCTGACTATATCCTTATGGTATAAAAATCTCTGGAATTTAGTTATTGCAGGAAAAAATAACACATAAGTTACAACTCTCTAGGGGAAAGAAAGATCCTGATCATTTCTACTCAGTATGGTGGGATTTTATTTCAGATAGTTTAGTTTCAGATTTACAGGTACCTCTTCCCAGGTGTTCCTGGAGAAATACGGATGTTGTCATTTTAAGTAGGGTGTTATTATTTAACATAGGTTTTGTATTCTGTGCCTTTAGTTGGCTATATTACTGAGTTTTTGTTATCGTTTTTCTTCATGTTTCTATAATAAATTGAAAACTAATAAAGATTTATTTAAAAAAAACTCCAAATCGCTTCCTCTGAAGCATCTCAGAAGTGATTCCACAATACAATAAAAACATATAAAAACAATTGCAGCTATACGAACTCTTAAAACCATGGCATGCATAAAACCAGTTTCAGATCAATACAGATACTGGTTGGGATAAAAATCTCTGCATAGGAGACCTGTTGGAAGATTTTTTACAAGTCTTCAACAGGTGCTGAAAAGACAGTAGAGACAGCAGCTGTCTGATATGTAACGGGAGTGTTTTGAAAAGGTTTAAGTGCTCCACATGTATGAACGCACACTAAAAATCAAGTATAAAGCGGGATAGTATAGTTATCTCCATTTTACAGCTGGGGTGACAGAGGTGGTGAGAGAGCGTGGCTTGTGTTAGGCACTTAGTAGAATTTCCAGTGCAGGCCCTGAACTGGGACTCAGACCCTACCTATTGACTGCAGCCCTTCCTATATTATATTTGATACATTTTGGAAGAACATACAAAATACTCAACTATCCTTTTACCACAGACTTCAATGGAAAAAAAACCTTGTGAAACAGTACTATACATGTGCAAAAGATTGCAGGATTGCGAGCTTGATGTGGGAGAGCAAAATTGCTGATTTTCACTGCTCTAGTTCCAAGCTGGCATAGCAGAATGGTCTGGGATTAGGTCCATTGCTGGTGGCTGAATTGGCTTAGGATGCAGTGACTCCTTGGTCTGCCCAGGTCTTGCCTCTCTCTCTGTCTCTGAAACACCCGATTTCATGGAGCCATGCTGGTTACTGACAGCAAAGTTTTTGCTGGTGGTAGCTTCTACCCTATCCACAGTATCATTGGGTGCAGAGAAATCTCTTCCACATCCTAAGCCCCACTCCAGTTCAGTGGATCAGGGATTAAGATTGCTCTCCCTGCTCATCATGGCTTTCAGAAAACCAAACAGTGCATTTTCTGTTTGCAACATGTGCAACTGTAAAACACTTGTGAAATATACATTCAGAAGAGGAGAGAAGTTAAAGCAAAAACACGGAAGTGACTTGTTAGTCTGTTTTAACTCTAAAAAAGTAACTTATGGATGCCAAGATAGGTACAGAAAAGTGTAGAATTCTCAGAGGTGAGAAGTTTACTTTTGTACCATTATTCACATTCTCCTTAGGGGAGGAATGCATTTCTCAGCTTTTCCTCCACTAAAGTTTTGAGCAGCACTTCTCTTTGCAAGTCTTTTCTTTGCTGACATTTAGTATTGTGTATTGTTTTCCCCCACCTCTCCTACTAGATCTGCATCGAGGGGAATATTGCAAGCGGGAAGACAACATGCCTGGATTATTTTGCCAAAAATACCAGCATTGAGGTGATGTGTTTTGAGATTTCACACAAGTTTTCTGATGATGTTTGATCTTAGGTCACATCCGCACCATGCATTTGAAGAACATCAAAAGCAGATGGCTTGCTTCAAAGAATCCTGGGAATTGTCGTTTAAAAGTGCTGGGAATTGTTGGTCTGTGAGAGGTAAACTACAATCCCCAGGATTCTTCAGGGGCAAACATTGTACTTTAAATGAATGGTGTGTATGACCCAAGTCAGGTTCTAATCCAAAATACGTTTCATGAAGAAGGAAGCCCTGATAAGTTTCTTTGAGTTAAGCACGCTTAGGATTTGGTTTCAGATTTATCCCTTAAATTTCTTTGCATTCATTCATTCATTCATTCATAAATAAAATGTTGGTGAATGCCAGTAGATGGGAACTGGTTTTCCTGGAAAGCTACACAGAGCAGGGACTAAAATTGCCTTCCTCTGTACGGATGCGGCCTCTAGGCTAGCAAGCAAAATAGGCAGCTCAGTTGTCACCCCACCACCACCCATAATCTGCTGCAAATGGAGTGCAAACACAGGATCTCTTATCACATCTGAATTATGCTTTAATTGTTAAGTGAGCCTGAGTATCTTGTAGAAGCAGCCCTTAAGTGGCTATGTTTAGCTTAGAGAAGAGAAGACTGAAGCTGGGACATGACAGCACTCTTCAGAGTTTTTGTTTATTTGAACCATTTACAGTCATACCTCGGGATAAATACACTTCAGGTTGAGTGCTTTTGGGTTGCGCTCCACGGTGACCCGGAAGTAATGGAGCGTGTTACTTCCGGGTTTTGCCACTTGCGCATGCACAGACAGTGAAAATGACATCACATGCATGCGCGGAAGCGGCAAAACGTGGCACGCGCAGACGCGCTGTCGTGTCTTACGTTCTGTTCGGGATGCGAACGGGGCTCTGGAACGGATCCCGTTCGCATCCCGAGGTACCACTGTATATGCTTCTTCTACAATAGCATCTAAGCAGATTACAATATGCAATACAAAAAATTACAATCCATTAAAACCATAAAGTCAAACATTAATTACCATGCCTGCTGGAATAAAAATGTCTTCAGTAGGTGCCAGAAGTTGACCAGGGAAGGGGCCTGTCTGACCTCAACCAGAAGGGAGTTCCACCAGCACTAACTGCATGGCTCCTGGTGCATCCAAGCCATGCATCTAGCCATGGGGAGAACACCAACAGTGACTCACCCCAATCTCCAGAAAGTTCAGCCCCTGGAAGGGCTGCTGCATTAAAGAGGGAAGAGACTGTCTGAAATGAGAGGATCTAATGAGCGCAGGTTACAGGAAGTTAGATTTTTGATTGAAGCTTTGTGATGGTAACAGCTGTTTGAGAATGGAACGAGTTACCCAGCGGTGGGTTCATTTCAGGCTGAATAGCCCCTGGATTTCCAGCATCAAGCAAGCAGTTGGATTAAATAGCCTACAAGGACCTTGCCAACTCTGTGATTGAATTAGGAATTTGGCGAAAGGCTGTGGCTCAGTGATAGAGTGCCTGTCACTCAAAGCATGCGGTCAAGTACAACCCCTGCGAAAAATGCTCCCACTATTAAAGCAAGTCACCCAAACCAGCTAAAACTGAAGGCAGCATCGCAAAAGAAAGAGCCAGAGCTAATAACAAATTAAGCAAAAACAAAAATGTTTTATCATTCATTTTAATTTTTATAAATTTCACACTCAGGTGTTGACTGAACCAGTATCTAAATGGAGGAACGTTCGTGGTCATAACCCTCTGGTAAGCTATCTAATAGCAATAATAATACCAAAATAATGAGTTACTGTTGTTTCATAGGCATGGTTCTGTTGTTTGAACATAATGTGGGTTATGGTGGTGATTTGAAACAAAAATAAAGCACAGCTGTGATCCTGCTCTCATAATGCTGCTGCCTCAGTTGCTTGGTTTAGGAATGAAAATTTTGAATAGATAACGTCCCATGTCCTACCTTAATTGTTGCGCCCACTAAACAAAATGACCGTGCCATTGCTTCATCTCCTGGAGTTGCTAGTAAATATAATCCATTTGACAAGGAGATAATAAAAGGTATTATGGAGTATGATATGCCATATGTGCCTAAGGTTGCCCTACTTGGTTATCTGATTTTGGATTCATAGGGAAGGGCCGTAGCCCAGGAGCAGAGCATCTGCTTTGCATGCACAAAGTCCCAGGTTCAATCCTGAGAATCTCCAGAAAGGACTTGGGGAGACCCTGTCTGAAATCCTGAAGGGCCAATGGCAGCTGACAATACTGAACTTGATGGACCAGTGGTCTCGCTCTGTATACAGCAGCTTCCTATGTTCCTATGACTTGGAGCTCATTAAAATCAGACATTCCACAGCAGCTCATTGGGAATCTTCAGGAGCTCCTCCCATACAGCATTGTTATGGATGGATCAAGATGGTTGCTTATTCTGTCCTGCCTCCTGAGCTCCTTTGGGAGGGAGGCCTGGAATATAAATTTAATGAATAAATAATAAACCAAGAACTCTTTTATTTTACGAGCAAAGGAATCACAAGAAATAGATCTATCTAGAAACGGAGTTTACTTGTAAATCACTGAAATAATAATTTCCAAGGTAATATTTATATATATATCTCCAAGCTTTATATTCTGTCATACGGCTTCACTTTATTTTGTGATAATGCTGCCAGACATTATTCTAACTGTGAAAATGCAATAAAAATAGTGAGGAAAGCAACGCTGCTTCTCCTTCTTTCAGGGCTTAATGTACCAAGACGCATCCCGCTGGGGGATAACGTTGCAGACTTACGTGCAGCTGACTATGTTGGACCAGCATATAAAGCCAATGGTAGGTTTTGAACTACATTTGTTTCTTTTAACACTAGACCAGGAGTGGGAAACCTTTGGGCTCTGGGGCTGAATGCACATCTCAAGACCTCTTGCTTTGCCTCTTGCTGGTCCTGCTCTGTGCCTTCCTCGAGAGCTTTTGCCTGACTGGAATGTGTCCTTGAACTGATGGTTCTTGCTTGCCTGGATGGAATGATGCGTAGGAGTGTAAAAACATCTGGTTTTTGCCTGGCTGGAATGCAGCCTACGGTGCAAAGGTCAGAAATTGGTCAGGAAGGCCAGAAATCCAAACAAACATATTGTTCTAAATCCCCATTTTTGGGGGGCCTGGTAGATCTCCTTTGGAAAGGCATTCCGTAAGGTGGGTGCCACCAATAAAAAGGCCCTGCTGCTGGTAATGTCTTGTTGTGGCATTTGGAACAAGATCTCATATGATATCATGTAGAAAGAAATATATGGAAGGAGGAGGAGGTCCTTAAAGTTCCTAGGTGCCAAGTCAGTTAAAACCAGCACCCTCAACAGAGTTCTTATGTTGCTCTGTAGAACGAGATGCACACCACACTGCCTGTCTTGCATTCTGTCACTATGATCACAGGTTGGTGGGCATGAGGGATGGTGTCCTCTCAGTAGCAGCTCCTTAACTATGGAACTTCTTTCCAGGAAGAGTGTGGTTGGCCTTGCAAGCCCTTGCCTTTAAGCCCTTAAAGGGACACAGACTATTCATTTGCTTCAGGTAGTTTTTTTGTTTGTTTTAAGAGTAATAAGTTGCCGTGGTCCTATAGGTTTCTTTTACTGTAAAAAAAATAAAAGTATTGGCTGGTTTTAAATAGTCAGAGCATGCTTCTTGATCTTGTTCCTGATATAGCTGTTTTTCATGAATCTATGACATTTCCCGCCCCCCACAATAGTATTGTATTCTGGCTTTCGTAATCCATTTCCTGTTACACTTTTTGTATCAATACTGTGTGGATGCCCTCCCTTGCGACAGGGGGAAGGAAACGGCTAAATGTCTCTTGAAATCCCTCCATTTGCAGATTTCACCCATTAGAATGATGGAGAGGTCAATCCACAGCGCCAAATACATTTTTGTAGAAAACCTTTACCGAAGGTACAGTACCCAGTTTTTTTTAAAAAAAAAATCTTGGCTTGTGTTTACATTTTGAAATCGTAGAACCATGCTTTTAGCTTATTCTCTTGCATTGGATATCTGAAATTTTGCTGTATTGTGTTAACTACTTCGATCCAGCATGGTGTGTTTTTTATTTGCTGATGCAGATGCCAAGTAAAGGTTAAGGTGGAAACCTGCTCCTTTTTATGTTCTTGAGATTCAAGATTAATGTCATGTACAAAATAGATTCTGAATATTTCTGATGTTCAGGCATGATTGCTGTGGCTTTATGTAGCCAAAATGATACCACCCACCCACACGGAGAAGCTATGGCAGCCTCAGGGAAATGGCAAGGTTTGCAGAGGTTCATACCAAAACTTTTAACAGAAAAATCCTTTAGGGCAGAACTCCCCCTCCTTAAAAATACCCCCAGCCCAATGAGAGCTGAATAGTTTCAGTGGCTACTGAATGACTATTGGGGGTGGGGACATCAGAAAACGGGATGGGTGGAATTGAGTAAAATGGAGGAAGACATGATTGGCTACAAGCCTTAGAAAGGAAGCACTCCACACGGCAGCATTTTGTTGCAGGTCCCACTAGTGTATTCTGAATAAGGATACCTGATGCAAGAACATGTGCTTCTCAGTTGGAGCCTGCCACCCACAGTGGCTACAAATGACGTGCAAATTTTTGTCAGTTCCTTGTGCCAAAATGTGCATGCTAGCTGCTATTGCTGCTGCCATGCTGTCATGTGACTCTGTGCTGAACAGGAATTTATATTCCTGCTTGAAAAGACCCCAGAATTAATGCATTTCTTTGGAAGTGGTAAAGGCAGCTGCCTGCTAATCCACAAGGTGGCATCTGTGCTACGTAGTCTCTTTGCTGATTTTCTGAAACGTGCTGGTTTTATTATGCAGAAATAAATTGGAAAAGTTCGGTGTTTGTCCATGGTCTGTTGCAGGGTGGGGGTGGGCGAATAACACTTGCTATTTTGTTTGCATGTTAAAACATTCATTTGCATTGCTTTTTATATATTGGGCAGAACATGCAAGCCTGCTGATAGTCTTGTGTGAGCTTAGAGCCTGCACATATCATTACTGTTTTCAAAATTGCCTTAAAAGAGTTGGCAGGGCCGGCTCTACCATTAGGCAAAGCAAGGCAGCTGCCTCAGGCAGCAGATGCCAAGGGGCAGGCAACAACCGTAAGATGTCGGAGAACAATGTTGTGAATGCCACACAGGCTTTGGTATACCTCATAAACTAGCCTACTGCCCTTGGGTGCAGTGGATGTGCTCTCCTATCCTCAGAAAGATTTAACTACCTGTCCCTTTGGCTTGTGTACATTGATTTTAAGGGGATGGGGAGAGAGTTGTGCTATCTTGTCTGCCTCAGGCAGCAAAATGGTCTTGAACTGAGGAATGGCCTGTTTAGCGTTTGTGTGTTTAACTTCAGGAAAGAAGTAATGGATTTATTGGATTCAGTGCATCAGGCTGCAATGCAGAAAACCTAATGTGTTTTAATCTTCCTTTATGCTTGATTCAGAAGCTGCAGGTGATGCAGAATGCTGCAGTACAATAGCTGACAGGAGTGAGACCCTCTCAGTGCCTGTGCTCAGAGACCTGCACTGGTGGCTAGTTAGGGCTAGCCTGCTAGACTGCTAGCAGGGCAAGGTCAAGCCCTAACACCTTGGGACCAACTTACCTGAGAGATTGCTTTACCCCATATATGTCCACTGGGATTGCTTTGATCTATGGAACTGGCCGTGTTGCAGGTGCCACAGAATGCTTGTTCTGCATTTGTAAGAACTTGAGCTTTTCATGTGGCAGAACCCACCCTGTGGAACTCCCTGCCTATTGATGTCAGATTTGGCACCAGCTAAAAACATTTTTGTTTAGACAAGGCTACCTAGATATGTAGAATATTAATGTGTTTTAATCTGTGTTTAGCTTATCACTCATTTTAATTATTAATGTTTGGAATAGCTGTTTTTACTGATAATTTTATTGTTTTACTCTTTTTGTAAACCTCTTTGTCTGGTTTTTTTTTAAAAAAACTATTGAGTGATAAATAAGTTTTATGAAATAAACAGTGAAAATCAGCATTTCAGCCAAAGAATATTTAAGGCTTTTGAAAGGGATAGAGGATGACTTAAAGATGAAGAGGATAAAAACCCTAAAATTACTCCACACCACCTCCATTTGTGGATTTTGAAACACAAATTGTGTATAGTAGCAGATAATATTGCTTTCAGACCTGTTTGAAATCAATCCAGTGAACGTGTTTGATACACCAGTCAGCTTGTATAGAAATATTTTGGCTCGTTTGTGATTTGGTTAGAAGTCATTGCTGGTTTACAGTGAGGGTTTCCAAGGAGACAGATGCAAATTGTGTGTGTGTGTTGCCTCAGGATGGCACCATCTGTTGTATAACAGTGAAAGCTCTCTTTAAAAATATTTTTTATTTAAGTTGCACAGCTCTGTACATTTCCTCAGATATATCCATATTATGTGTTTCTTCTTTACAGTGGGAGAATGCCGGAGGTGGATTACGTGGTATTGACAGAATGGTTTGAGTGGATCATAAAGAACATGGATGTTTCAGTTGATCTGATAGGTAAAGTACTTATGCTTTGGAAGCCCCCCCCCCCCGATCGCTTTCTTTGCCTCCAGGTTACTAATTGAGCTGGCCAGATGTGCTAGCATTTTAGGCTTACCTTCTGCCATCAACTATCCCATGGGAAGGATTCTTGGAGAGAGAAGGGCAGAGGTAAAGGCCACCTCTAAGCCTCCTCTATCTGAACTTTCCTCTCATCCCACCAGAATCACTGTGAGGCAGGGAGGAGGGGGAGGGGGAGAAGACATTAGGGCCTGATCCAGGTGAACTCTCCCTTCCCTCCTCTGCTGCCCTGTGAGAAGCATTCTGACATTTTACATATTGATCTTATTCTATTTTGTTTGATAAAAATATATTTTAATGCTACTTGTAAACTGCTTTCGAAGCGTCCGTATTCTTGACGTTCTCTAGATTTGTAAAACACCAAAAAGCCTATTTAGACATTAGGTGATATATAAGTTAATAAATAATAATACAAGTGACTCTCAACTTGTGCGGGGATTATGTTCCAGGGGATAGTGCAGAGAGCCAAAATCTTGTTTAGTCAAAATACATTGGGTTCAAAGTCAGGTGGGATTCCCAAAGTCTTTTTTTTCTTGGATGCCTGCCCCATTTTTTTTAAAAAAAAGAAAAAAAAGCCAAATGTGTAAAGCTGAATGTGCACAAGTTAAATGTCTGTAAGCTGATACCTATACTAGATTTGTAAATGAGATACCCGATAGGCTGGGTGTAGGTTTTTTCCTAAACTCTAAGCCAGAAATGTCTCCGAGCCTTCAAGAGCAGGACTGACCATTCAAAACCCCTTTCTTTTTCTTTTAAATGACAGTTTATCTACAGACCTCTCCTGAGACATGTTATGAGAGACTGAAGAGAAGATGCAGGGAAGAGGAAAAGGTTATTCCTATGGTAAGGAGGGAGTCTTCCAGCATTTTGGAATGAACTCCCCCAAAGGGCCTTTAAAGGCTAACCACACCAGAACTTGGCAGGGTGGAAGAAGAATGGAAAGAAAATGAAGCCTTAGTGCAAGGTGTGCGTTCTCTCTGCTGGAGGTATCAGTCTGGAAGTTTTTTCCAAGTCTAATGCTCCTGTGATCTTGACAAGATTCCATAACACCCCCTCCCTCAACTTAGCAGTTAGGCTTGGGAAAAAAGACTTCCATTGGATAAAATGAGAGGCTTTCCTCAAGCCAGATTGCTGCATGGGAGAGATCTGTGGGAATGGATGTAACTCTCTCTGTCTGAAAGTGCATCATCTGCATCATCATCTGCCTAGGCCGGGCTTCAACATTTTAAATTAAAAGACAACATTGAAAACAGTTTAGAAAACATATTAACGAAAACCCACAATCACATAAAATTGGGTGGGTCCTAAAAATATACATCCTGGGTGTCAAAAGGCCAGGGTAAAGAAATGCGTCTTCAGCATTTGCTGAAAACTGTATGATGAAATTGCCAGATGTGCCTCTGTAGAAAGGGAATTCCACAACATAGGGGCTGCTCTAGAGAATGCCCTTTATTGTCTCCCCCCCACAAGCTGCTGAGTGTGGAGGAACAATCAAGATGGCTGCCTCTGCTGACTAGCACCCAAGAGTGTCTGTGGTGAAGGAGGTGGTCTTTCAGATATTTGAGGCCTGAGTCGTTGAGGGCTTTGAACACCAATGCGAGCACCTTGAATTGGGCCTGGAAACAGTGCAACTGTTTTAAAGTTGAGCTTATATGTCAACTAAAAGGAACCACAGCCTGTAATCTGGCTGCTGCATTTTGGATCAGTTGACATTTCCGAGTCGTCTTCAAGGGGATCCCCACATAGAATGCTTTGCAGCAAACTAGTCTGGATGTTACCAGAGCATGGAGTACTCTGGTGGCCAGCTTTGAGTGTGCAAGGGAGGGGGAGGGGGGGTTCCCCCACTTGCTTGGATGGAGAATGGATGAAGAGAGGAACACCCATTGCTGGCATGCAGCTCCTAGGAGTCTAAACAGGCTGAAAAAGATTCCCCACCTGTGTCCTAGAGTTTTGTGTCTACTGCATGAGTGGGGGAATTTTTTCCCTTTCATGGGACACCTTCCAGAGGCTGCATACGGATGTTGGGTGTGGCCAGACAAACACCACTCGTTGGCCTCCATCCAAGAGGATTATCGTACTTCCAGGGACATTCCAGCCTAGAAGGGAGGGCACAGAGCAGGACTAGTGAGGAGGATGGCCTTGGCCAAATAAAGGGCTGGATAAAAAGGCCCGGAAGGCTGCATTTGGTTCCCAGACCTGAGGTCCTCATATATTGTAAAGAAAACAAAATATTTTCTCCTTTTTTGGACAGGAATATTTAGCAGCTATTCACCAGCTCTATGAAGAGTGGCTCATTAAACAAACAATGTTCAAAGTTCCTTCCCCGGTTCTTGTAAGTATATATTAATGTTGAGTTTTAAGCCAACCCCTTCCTCTTTTGGGGTTTAATGCCAGCACACACACCTTGCCCAGGCCAGGCCAGCCCAGCTGATCTTCCGGGGCTTTTCAAGCTTTTGACTGACTCTCCAGGAAGCTGGAGAAAATTTCATTTGATGTCTGCAGTGAGCAGGGATGTCTGCACTTCCTTAAGTCTTTAAAGCCACCCTAAATGTTAGCATCAATACAATGTTTAATGACATCACCCACAGCTTCTGAATGACACACTTCAAATGTTTGGTTTCTTTTCGAAGGTGCTTCAGGCTGACCACGACCTACAGGATATGATGGAAAAATACGAAGAGAATCAGGACCGAATATTAACCCTTTGCACCAGGCAGCATTGTGTATAGAAACAGATTTCCCTTAATGTACAGTTCTTGCTTGTAGAAACCAGTTCTAAGGAGGAGACCTGAGGAAAAAAATGTTATATGCACACTTCATTACATCCTTTCTCTGAATAATAATTATGAGGGTTTTTTTTGTAGGATGCAATATTGTACACTCCTTGTGATTTGTAAAGTACCTTTTATGTTGAATGAGAACTTAGGGAAAAACAGGTTTTGTTATAAATTTCCATCTTCACTTGTAGTTATACACTGACAACTTCTATTATTCCAAAATGTTGCTGCTACTATAAAGCTATGTCAAAGACTGCTTTCTAAGAAGGCCTGTCTGAAATGTCCATGTATATTCAAATCTTACTCTTACTTAAAGGATTTTTTTTTGTGAGTTGGGAAGAAAAATCAAGCACTGGGTTTGGTTTCACACTTCTTTCCAGTTCCACTGTGGACTGTTGCAATGTCTAGATTAGCTCTAACTGTAAGAACCTTGCAAAACCTATCACGTCTCCACTTGGATGTATATGTACAATGTATTTCCTATTTGATGATTATTTCAAGGAATAGGAAGCTGTGGTGTCACTGCTGGGGTTTTTCTCCCCTTGGCTTTTAAAGGGATGAGAGAGGCAGTTGCCATCATGCTTTAGTGCTTTTTTTCTAGCTAGCACTTGGTTGCCAGAGAGTAAAGGAGGAGGGAAGGGCAAGAACTTGTCAATTGCGCCTTGACTGAGATGAAGCAATGGCCGGCAAATGGCATCTGCGCTTCCGGAGGAGTTTTGTCAACATTGCCAACCTAGTTTGCAGAACCCTGCTGAATTGTGAGCATTGAGTTCTTGAAGGATGTTACATATAAATATGTCTGAGTACACTGGGCTGGATCCACACTTAAGGTTCTGTTGATATCAATGTGCAAAGCTAGTCACGACTCACTTAAGTCCCATTGATTTCAATGGGATTTAAGTGCAACTCATCTGCAGCAGCATCCTAGGCATATCGATTTAGATGTCATTCCTATTACTGCTGGGCAAGTATGTATAGGATGGCTGCTTTAGTCTAGATCCAGCCCTGAAGATTTTAAACTTAAAGCACATATCTAGGGCACCATTGTGAGCCGGGCTCCACAGGTGTACTGCTTTAAGCTCTTTTGTAAATGTGTGTTTTAACATGATGACAATAAATGCAGTCATTGTTTTATTTATATCCTGCCTCCCCCCCCCCCCAAACTGGGACTCAAGGCAGGTTACAACAATTGAAACAAACACGGATAAAACTCAGAACGCTAAAAAACATATAAAATAGTTGAAAAGTAGAATTAAAACGATATAAAAATACATCTAGTAAAAAAACAGCACTGCATTATTAAAAGCCCTTTTCTTAAAAACAGCCAGTTCCTCAAAGCCTGCTGGAATAAAGCTCTTCACCTGCTGGTGGAAGGACAACAAGGAGGGAGCCTGTCTCTCCTCTCTAGGGAAGGAGTTACAAAATCTGGGAGCAGTCACCGAGAAGGCCCTCTTATGCCACCTTGCCAAATGTGCCAGTTGGGGTGGTGGGACTGTGAGAGTAGGGCCTCCCCTCAGAGATCTCATGAGAATGCAGCCCTTCAGATAGCCTTGGCCTAAACTGCATACTGTGTGCAGATCTCCTATACAGTGGTACCTCGGGTTACAAACACTTTGGGTTACAGACTCCGCTAACCTGGAAGTAGTACCTCGGGTTAAGAACTTTACCTCAGGATGACAACAGAAATTGTGCGCTGGCAGCGTGGTGGCCGCAGGAGGCCCCATTAGCTAAAGTGGTTACCTCAGGTTAAGAACGGTTTCAGGTTAAGAATGGACCTCCGGAATGAATTAAGCTCATAACCAGTTACCACTGTACAGATTCTGTTCTTCATTGGCATCCTAAGCCTAGTTGAAATAAGTGTGAATGCGGGTGCAACTTTAAATACTTCCAGTACAGAATATATCCCACTTGGGACACACACTCCCATAGCATTGGAGCAAGAGTATAAGTTGCTTGGTTTTTGTTTTTTTTAATGTTTTTTGTCCAAATGGCTACATAATCTGTGTAAACCTTTTCAAGAGTGTTTATGGAAAGTAACTGCAGGGTTTTGAAAACGCAATGTCTCAAAAACATTTTAACATTCCTTCTACTACTTCATTAAATTTCTAGTGCTGTTTAAAGACATCTCTTGAATACTTATTTATATTAAACAGAGCAGTTTTAAAGCAGTTTGCTTAATTTATTCTCTTTGGAACAGTGATTTCTGAGGTATAACAGATCTTAACTCTCTCTTAGATGAATGGGCTAGTTTTGAAATACTGGTGGAAAAAACCCACAGCAAACCCCTAGAGGAAGCGTTCTTGGGATTTGATTCAAATATACTTTTACACTTCTGAGCTGGGATAAGACTGAATAAAAATCCAAATGCCCGTCCAAGGAATTTATAATTAGCTAGTTTAATGGTATTGCCAAATGACCTGATTTATGTCACATTAACCTAGAAACATTGCGATCATGTTCCAGATTTAAAAACCGTAAAAGATGCAACGTTTTCCAAACATGTATAATTGTAACCAAAAGACAACACTGGTCACCAGTCAACTTTCATATGTTACTTGGATTGAAATGTCATCTGGGATTCGATCCCAAGATCCAGTTCACATGTGCATGTTCATTACCTGGTGACTTAGCAATGTGAATTGTCAGTGACGAAATCCCCAGTCTAGCCCCTTATCTGCATTCTCTTTAATTCCAGTGTTGGGACTTCGTATGGAATTTGCTTGCTTGCGTGTGTTTTACAGTGGTCTTCCATACATATTAGAATGCAGTGCTATGCCAGTCACATACATTCCATAATGCCCTTCCTACTAAACAGTAGCATCTTTATTATGGAGACTGACCCCTCGTGAGACGGGCTATAGCTCAGTGGTAGAACATGGGCTTTGTATTCCAAAGATCCCAGGTTCAATCCCCAGCATTTCCAGGCAAGGCTGTGAGCCCTTCACAAAGCCCTGGAGAGCTGTTGCCTATCTGTGTAGGCAATACTGAGCTAGATAGACCCAATAGTCAGACACTGTCTAAGGCAGCTTCCTGTGTTCCTAGATGGGAGTGCAACTGCTTATGTAGCCATGACTGGCTGTCAAGAGTTGACCTGGCAATGGTGTTGGTTGCAAGCTGCCACTTTAATTTCCCACAACGTTTCAGTGTAGCACTATATCAGGGTCATTGTGGGAAATGAGTACAGCAACTAAATCCAGCTGCTTGGAGCAGTGTGCCAAAAAATTTAAAGGGCAGGAGTCTACAATAAACCCAGCCAAGGCCTGGGACCCCATCAGCTGCACAGACATGCCAGGGGTTAATGCAGCCTCTAGTTCCTAAAACCTGTATGAGCTTTCGCCCATTTTTCTGTTCTCTGCAACTTTCTGGGATGCATCCATTTTGCCACTTGGAAAATACAGATAGGATTGCTGGGACTGCTTCTGATAGCCTGGCTCCACAAACCTATAGGTTCCCATTGGCTTCTGTGTTAACATTTTTGGGTTGTGTGTGTTGCATTTACTTTTGTAAAGATTACAGGGAGAGAAAATCATTTTCACACTTTTATTGAAAAAAAACCCCAACAACCCACCCCTATTGATTCAGAAATAGTTTAGCAGAGAAATATTTTATTCTTCTACAGAGGCCCACCAGTTTGCAAACATTGACAAGCCACCTCTTTTTAGTAAGTCTACTCATTTCACTTACACAGTCTGTGTTCTGCTTGAAATTTAAATCCAGCTGTTCGTGCAATTAGTGAGGAGGAGAGGGCTGGGAGTTTATGACTTAGCAGGTACCTATTGATTTTTAGCAGGTACCTATTGATTTTTGTAGGGATCTTTGTTGGGCACACAAGTACAGAATGGTCTTGAGTAATGTTATTGGGACTAACTAGGAGAAAGGGAGCATCATGGCACTGAAATGGGATATATATCTCAGTAAGGTTTAGGTGAGTGTTCTTTTTTCCTGCTATAGGACAGTACAGTCCTACGTAAGTGTACACAGAAGTAGATCTTAATTAAGTCGAGTACTTAATAAATAGGCACAGGATTCGGCTGCTTTATTATTGTACCTCAATAGATTTATTCTGCCCTCCTCTGCTTTCCTCTAAACTCCACTAAAGGCAAATGATGGTTGTGGAATGACATAGAAGGAAGCTGCTTGGCACGAGGCATTCCACCACTTACACCCTCCGTTCTCAAGAAACCACCTGCGGTTTGGATGCAGAAGGCTTTGTTGGACTAATTTCTTAATCATCTTTGTTTATAATGACATAACCTTCTGGGCTAGTTTCATTCACTGGTACAACACAATGATCGGAGTCTGCAAAAGAGGAGTGACATCCTTCCCCTCTGCACGGAATGTTTGCTGGAGCACCGCCATGATACCCAATCTCAGGGTGGGTGATACAACTTGAGTCGGGTGGTTCACCCATGTGCCTAAGGTACTCCGCAGCTTCCCCTGCTCCCGGAATGCCTACCAGAAGTCTCTCATAACCTGAACCACCTGTGGGACAATTGCACCCAGCGATATCGCAGAAGAGCTCTGATGAGTAGAGGTCAACGGTGAAGCCCTCTCTATCCCCACCAGGTTGGTCTGAAAGTTTCATCCTAGAATGTTGCAGTTCCTGGATGCCTCTCTTGCTACTTAGGGATTCTGGCCCTGCTGTTTCCTCTACGGGATACACAAGACACTCTACACCATCTTCCTTAAGATTAGCCAAGGATGAGTCACAGGTTCCCTCTTTACTTGCATTGTTGCATGCCGTGAATTTATTGTTGTGTTGCGGAGTGTTCCCTTTCAGTTCTTTTGGCTGGTCTGTTGAATCTGATCCATGAATTGCAAGGCAGCTCATGGCATCACAGATCTGAGATTCAATAGTTTCCCGAGAGGATTCTTGGCTCCTGTAGCCATAAGGGACTTCGCCTTCCAAAGCAACATCATTAAGTATGGCTAAGGCTTGGGGGCCACTGGCACCAGGAGAAAGGAAAGTGAGTGGCCATGGTTTATTTGCTGGTGGGCCCCGCCTTGACCCAGGGAGTCCTGTGTTCTGAGTCTTGTCCTCTGAGGCTTTTGGATGGGGCTCTGCAAAGTGGAGCGGCTTTTGCGCAATGACAATGTCGCTGTATTTAATCAAGAAATCCTCACTATCGGAGCTTTTGATGCAGGAGTTTGCCAAAGCACTTCCCTGGGCTTGGCTTGCATTTTGCTCACTTGTGAATTTGGAAGCAGCCAGTGGAGTCTCTTCTGTAGTCAATTTGAGAGAAAGTTCATTTCTTTGCCCACCATTTCCAGCTTCTTCAGAGGCCTGCTTGCTGTGGGTCTGCTGAAGATCAAGCATCTCACTTCTTCCTCCAATAATCATGTATTCCTTTCTCTGGCAGGGCCAGTGCTTTCTGTCTAGGTTATCTTCAGGAGAGCAATGGTTTTGGGCACTTCTCTTCTGTAGGATATCCACCAGATCGCTGTCTCTTACATCCTCTGCAATTTCAAGGAGGTCTTCACACTGGATTCGTGCAAGGAATATTTCAAAAGCAGCTTGTTCTGTTTCCTCCTCACTGAGCTTCTTGGCCAGGGAAAACTCTGTGGTGGTAGTTGCAACGTAGCCAATTTCCTTCAGTAGCTTTTCTACTACGCCTTCTGGGAGAACAGATTGCACATAGTAGACAAAGTTTCCTGTAAAAGTCTGGGGAGGGGAGCGGAGAAGAGTGATGTTAGGAAACAAGATGGATGGGGAAAACCAAGCACTCAGTGCTGTTATGGGTTGTTGTAGCCCATACAATGCTCTACAGTGTTGGAAGAACCATAGCTCAGTGTTAGTGCCCAAGCTTTGCATGTAGAAGGTCCCAAGTACAATTCTTAGCATCTGAATACTGAAAAATTCAGGACACAAAAGAAAAGTACTTATTCACACCACACAAACTACAGGATCCACTCTGTCAGCTTCCAATGACTACTGGAACTTCAGCCTTTCCTTACTCCTGTTTTTCTTTACGGCATGGCTGGGGAACCTTTGACACCCCCCCCCCAATGATGTTGTTGGAACTGGGTATTGTCAGTTCCAGCCAGCATGGCCAATGGTCCACAGATGGTGGGAGCTGTCATCCAGCAACATCTGGAGAGACACAGATTCCCTGTCTCTGCTTCCCCCAGCACTCCAAT